TTCAAGGTAGATAGATAAAAATTCTTAAAATTTACCCGATTTGTGAAACATTGTTTGAGTTGAGAATCAAAGTTTCCATAAGTTAGTTATAAATAAGTCGAACCAAGCTCGAGCTTATGATACTTAGTTCAAGGTCGAGCAAAGCTCCCTTGCAAGTCAAATTATGTTAGAAGTTTGTAAGAAAGTACATACAGTTATTATTTATCAAGCCTACAAAGTATGAACGAGCCAAACTCAAGTTCACTCGTTGATTAAACGAGCTCAACTTAGCTCATTTATAAAATAAGTTGAACTCACAAGTAGCTCGTTAATCACTCTACAAATCATTTCAAGAAAAAAAAGACATCATAGTCATAGTCTCTCCCTACATATAAATGCAAAATTCTCTGAGCACATGTGTTTATTTCTGGTGCTTCGTAATCCTATGTGTCAAATATTGGTGTTTCGTAACTCTATGTAAAAGTTTTTTATGCTTCGAAGTAGTGCATGTACATCTAGACTTACATCCATGAAACACCAGACTAATTCAAAGTATAAATATATTTTAAAAGTTAATAATTTTTAATATTTGTTATTAGTTTTTTTATATGCGATGTATTATATCAATCATTTATTGGTGAGCTTCGATTTGATATTCATACTTCATGTATAAAATAATATAATAATTTTATTTATCTTTATTAAAAAATTAAATATTCTATTAATAAGTAAAAGTTAATATAATTATACATCAATAAAAAAATATCTTTAATGTTGTGAGATATGCACTAGACAAATTATTGTAATATAAGATGTGTAAATTGTACAATCAAAGAGTAATATTGTAAATAAATAACAATAATGCAATATTTGTTAGAAAAAAGTATTTAAAATTTAAATACAAAACTTATCTTTCTTATTTTTTTTTGAGTCCAAGTATAATTTTTTAATTAGTAACTGTGTAATTCACGGTGTACTAGTCACAAGCACATACCGTTTAACATAATAATAGAGCTCAAATTAAATTTTATAATTCATCTATATATATATATAAAAATTTACCATTTTTTAAAAATGACAGGTCAATTTTTGGTCAAATCTCTTTCTTCATTAATTATTTACTATTAATGTCAACTTCTTTTCTTTTTTCTTTTTTTTTCACGTTCAGCTATTAAATGCCCACAAAATGCGGGAGATTTTCAGTAATTAATTTGGTAAACATTCCCAAAAAATGCTGCTCACTTTCTTATAATGAATATTATTCACTTTAATGATTATTATTCACTTAATTTATTTTTTACATAATATTGCATAAAATTTTATTCGGAAAATGTATGAATACAATTATATTTGATATTTGATTTTTTTTTATAACACGTGTATTAATACTTTTTGACATGACATAAAACTATTTTTTTAAAATAATTACAATTTTTTAAACACGTGTTTTTATAGATACATTTCTATTTCTAATTACCTAACATATAAGTTAGTAACACGATTTTGTTTTCCTGTAAAGAATCCCAATTTTAAGGAAAATATAAAATTATATATATATTTTTTAATTAGCTCTATTTTTTTTTGTTTAAAATAATTAAAAATTATATTGTTTCCATCTGTTGGACTCTTTTAAAGGGTTTTATATTCTAGATATCTAAACAAAATTAGAGTTATAATTTCACATAACCTCTGTTTGTTGTAAACAAATCCAATTTATATGAAATTCTAAAAATAAACATACTTTGTAATCAACTATGATTTTTATAACCGTTTGATGTTTAATTAAATTTAAAATTATATTGTTTCCAAGTTTTGGAATTCTTTTTTTTCGGTTTTGGCGTGCTTTTTTTTTTAATTATGAAAATCTCTACATACCAGTTATTATAAAATTTAGTGGTTGGAAACAAATCCAACTTATATGGTATTATAAAATTAAACATATCAGTTATGATATGTCGATCGATAATTTATATGTTTAATTTAATAGTAATTACACGGTTTCCAACTCTTGGGACTATTCATTGTTTTTAGATTTTAATAATGTACATATTCTTATAAATACGGTTCTTCTAAATTCATTCTCATCTACAGATTTCCAAAAATGTTTTCCATTCGGCTTTACCCAAATTCTACTTGCATTACCGTAAAAAAAGGTCATCGGCACTGAAATCTCGAATAATATATTAGAGCAAGCTCCTTGCTTGCGGAAATTTGATTTGACAATGCATTTATCCTGAAAATTTAATTTAGAAAATCACATTTTTCTCATTGTTGTGCACATGTCCAAAAAACTCAATTTAGCGTTATTATATTCTCTGTATTTTTAACATTTATATTGCACAAGTTAAAATCTAAATGCATATTTATCATCAAATCCTATGAGCTTATGCCAATGATGACTATCATGATATATCTGATGATAAAAATAAAAAATAAACCAACTTTGAACAAAAATTAAGATAGATAGCCTATTCATAAACAATTAATAAAAAACAAACAAACCAATTTTGTGTCGAACCTGAAACATTGCAATTATTATTTTCAAACAATATAGAAATTATTAAGGAAAATTTTACGTTTATTTACAGTCTTATTTTGATTTATTTGATGGTCAACCTAATAATTGTTGTATGTAATTTTTTGTTTTATTTGGAGAAAAATGTGAAATACTATGAAATATGAAAAAGGGAGAGGGAGAGAAATTAGAGGGAATCATTAAATTATGTTTATATTTATAAATTATTCAACTCATTACAAAGGAAGTTACATGATTCAAACTAAAAATATAGTTTATTAGTATAGCTAGGAATGTACAATAACTATCTTCATAAAATAGGAATGAAAAAGTTAAACATTGAATAAAATATAATTTATAATATAGTTGGAAATTAGGAAAATTGTCCAAGCGTTGGGGCAATTTTTTGGCGACAACAATCAGCATCTGCAGCCAAGGATAGAAGCCCAACAAGGGAGCCCAGTTGAGTGAGGCCCAATTTCCGCAGCCCTTTGTGCAGCCCGCGTCCGGCCCGAGTCGGCCTGTGCTCCTCACAACGAGTTACCCAATAATCAAACTCATATGTTGTATACAAAAAAGTTTTTAATAATATAAGATGTTTAGTGACAGACATTTATGATGAATAATGTTCGTATGTATTAAACTTTCATATATCCTAATGCATGACAAATTATAATATTCTCTAAATTTATATATCCGTGCATCGCACGAGATACACACTAGTTGTTACCAATCATAGGTCCATTGTTATTTAATTATTCTCGTATTAGTTAAAGCCTAAAGGGGATGCTACGGGCCGTTATGGAACAATTTGTCAAAATTTGTAATCGTTGGATCAACTATATTCGATAGTTATATGATGATCTAACGATTACAAACCCGGCAGAATAGTTCCGTAATGGGATAGTGGCGCCTAATAAATCCCATTTAATCAACCTAACTTTTTTCTAATGCCCACCACACAAAATTTAGTTTAAAATTGATCAATTCACCCGCGAAAAGCTTCCTCCTCCTCCACTCGCCGCCGCTTATCCGTTCACAAACACAGAGGAAAATCACAAGAAGCAGACAAAAAAGGTGAGCTCACCGAATAACAAATTTCAACGCACAAAATAAAATTCACCAAGTTGCCAAAAAAAATAAAAAAAGAAAAAAAAAATCGAGTCTTGAAGAGCGTGTGTGTGTGTGTGGCTGTGTCGGGTAATAATTATGAGGAATATCGTGGATTTTCGTTGGCTGCTGGCAATAAAGATCACGGGAGCGCACACACAGAGATGTGTGTGGAGGAGAGCAAATCAGCTGCATTACCCTAAATCGGATAGGGTTTGTATTTCTCACCTCCCAATTGCCCATCCTCAAATATGTGCCTCTCTCTGCTCGAGCCCCCACCCCATTTGTCTTCTTCCTCTTATCTCTCTATCTACAAGGAACAAAGTTTCGATTTTTATTGCGTTTTCTATTCAGGAATAAAGAAATTATCTTTGTGTGTGTGTGTGTGTGTGTGTGTGTGTGTGATTGTGTGTGTGTTTTGTATTCATTGGTCTTGGTTCTCCCCCTTTTAGTTTATCTACTGCTTGTAGAACGTTTCATCTCATTAGTCTTGAGCTTCTAGGTCTGCCTCTCTCTCTCTCCCTCTCTCTCTCTCTCTCTCTCTCTCTCTCTATCTCTCTCTTGATCTCTCTTGCACACACACATACAGACCTTGATTTTGTTTTCTTTGAGTTGTGGGTTCTTGCTGAGTCGTTTTGTGAGGGTTGGTGATTTGGTTTTTTTTTGGATCATGCTTTACTTTGAGTTGTGGGTTCTTGCTGAGTCGCTTTATGTGTTTTCTTTGATTTGGTTTTTTTTGGATACCTGGGATGTTTTTAAGTTATGGGGTGTTGAAAATGATGTAGTTAGTCAGGCTTGTGTAGTGTCTCGTGAAGATGCATTTCTTTTTGTTTCTAATAGAATCTAATTGATGTAGTTGATCGGTTCGTCTAGCTTCTCTTGAAGATTCGTTTCGATATATAACAAAATATATATAACTTTGCATCAGATAATCAAGCGGATGTTGATTTTCTGCAAAATCAGAAGTTGGTGGTGTCTGCTAATAGAAACAGAAAATTGAAGTGGTTAGCGGTTATAGAAGAAATCTCGTGAATAAGTTGTTAGAGTACCTATTTGTTTATCAAAGTCAACCTAAGAAGTATGCTTAGAAATTTAGAAGCACTCTCGTCGGTTTTATCTTTTGATTAGGATATGGATATTTGAAGCATAAGATTGGCACCTGAAAAGCGCTTATCATCACTTTTTCTTTCGTGAGTTTTGAGCCTTTAATTTATTTTTCTAATCCAAATTAAGCTGGTGGGTGATAAGTAGAATGTTACCGAATTAACTCGTCAGTTGTCATTAAAAAAAGTAAAATAAAAGTGGAGTGTTTTTTATCTGATCTGTATTATTTTGTTCATTCCGGTATGTCTTGGATCTAGATAATTGGGAGGGACGTGAAAAATCAAGAATACCAATGGCAGAGGTAACAAATGTAACCGAGTACCAGGCTATTGCCAAGGAGAAACTGCCAAAAATGGCGTACGATTACTATGCATCTGGTGCGGAGGACCAATGGACTCTAGCTGAGAATCGGAACGCATTCTCTAGGATTTTGTAAGTTGATTTACGTAAAATCGTAAAAAATTTTCCGGCCCCTTCAAACATTGCTGGTTCTTGATGATATATTTGAACTAAACACAGGTTCAGGCCCCGGATTCTGATTGATGTCAGCAAGATTGACATGACTACAACTGTTTTGGGCTTCAAGATTTCAATGCCGATCATGATTGCCCCAACTGCCTTTCAGAAAATGGCTCATCCAGATGGTAAGCATTTTTTCGGACATGTGAACATCAAAGACTGTTCATTCATATGTTGTATCTTTAGGCAAAACCATTTCTCAAATTAAAAGTTCTTTAGGCAAAACCATTTCTCGTTCATACTGTCATTTTACTTCTTTCAAGCTAATCTTTTATGTTCCAATTTTCGCAGCCATGACTTTGGATTGTCTTGGAAGTTGTTTTGTGTAACTATTTCTTTATAAAGCTTTTTCACTAGCAGAATTAAATGAATGACTCTGAATAGTTACAGTGGATACTTATAAAGTTCTGTTGTGCAGTCATACAATGGGATGTCTGATATTTGCAGCTTAATGAGTGGGCATGATTTATTATTCAGAAGTTTATATTCCGCACTAAGCCACAACAAAATACTTAGATCCAAGTTTTTAATGTATCTTGTACATATTATCTATCCAATTCGATGCTCATGCCATACTACTCGAATCCTGTGTTTTTGTAAACATGATCTTCATTCGCATTCAGCAAACTCAAATTTCATGCCAGTTACCATCATTAACTTGTATGTGCTTATGAAAGTCGATGATATTTATGCAGGGGAATACGCAACTGCTAGAGCTGCTTCAGCAGCTAACACAATCATGGTTCGGTTTCTCCCTTATTCTGTTTCAGCTTCATTCATTTTTATAAAAAAAATAGTCAAATTTGAATTATTTGATATATGTTCTTTAAGATAGTGATGGTGAGTTTCCAGTTAATGTTAGATAATTTGATGTGGTACCGATCTTTTATTTATTATACTTATTCCGATTGAAGTTTCCGGATTTACTAATTTAATATCACAATAGCATCCTTATATTCTCCTGATACATCACAAAATTTATTTTCAGACATTGTCATCATGGGCCACTTCCAGCGTCGAGGAGGTAGCTTCAACCGGACCCGGCGTTCGATTCTTCCAGCTTTACGTAAGATTTTGTCTAATATTTGGTGAAATTATTACAGTTATTAATTATTATTATTATTATACTCTATTATAGGCCCATCCACATTTCTAACTGCCTTTTTTTCATTTGCTTTTTT